GGATCCTTGCCTCAAGACTCTGACTTAGCAAGTTCAAACTTTGAGAAACACCAGTATGTTGGGTAATGGAGCCATTCCAGGCAAATTACAAGCCTGGTCACTGATCTTAGTTCCCTCCCTTCTGAGCACTGTGTGTTGAACAAATTATCCTCTGTGAGTATCAGTTGTCTGATCTCTAAAATGGGAAGCATGATACCTCCCTTGGCAGGGCTGCAACTGTTGGATAGGCTTGGCACAAAGCATTCAAAATGAATTAGCTAAATTTGCTCATTTCACAGAGTAAAACTGAATGAGATGCATTTGGCTAGCGTCTACAGTAACTCGCAATGGGAAAGAGTTGTGGTTTAGTAGGATTGGTGTAGAGGGATTTTACTCAGCCTTCATCAGCCTAGAAGCACAAAACAAAGAGATTGTTTTGGGCCTGGAAGCATGTACTGGGTATTTTAAACATCTGTTAAACCCATGGCATAATGGTCTTCCATGCTCAAGGTGAGGAGACTGCATATCTGGGTCTGTTAGTACTGTCTGGGTCGACACCTGTTAAGGTTCTATTGTTGGTACTGTCCCTTGTCACTTGCAAAAAGGTTCCAGACAATGAATTCTATGCTGCGCAGTGGCTATGTGTGAACTCAAAGCTGCCCTTCTTTCCAGTGAAGGATCTTTTCTTGCCTCATTGCTAGACCCTGGTATTTATTTTAGCAGTGACAACATCCATTGAGGCTCCGTGGCTTGGTGTCCAAATTCAGCTTCCACCCAGTGATCCCTGGCAGGCGGGAGCAGTGTGGGTATTTGTTCCTGTTGTCTGTGATCCAATGAAGGGCTCTTTGCCTTTCCCCAGGTGCCCTGTGTTCAATGGTAGCTAAGAGGAAGGCAACAGCCTTTGATGGTAGAAACTTCCTGGCTCTGTTCTCAATCTTAGCATTCAGGGGGAGGGAGCACCAAACCATCCCTCTCGCACATCTGCCTGGAATGCGGATGGCCAGGGGTGTACTGTAGGGGCTCCTTGATTTCATGGGCCTCACAGGGAAATTGGGTTCAGAAAATGTGAGTCACAAAATTGTCATCTCCACCTCCAGACTGTTGCCTAACGCCCAAGAACCAACTACCTACATTGTCCTCACAGAAAAACAAGAGAGCCAGATATGTTTGAGGCATATAGAGAATAGTAAGGGGCAAATTCCTCTTCCCTACTTTCTTCACTGGAGCTTAATTGCCTGTGGCCTTGATGGGCTCCAGAATATTTGAGCCTGGCTTCCTGGTCTCATAAGCAAGTTTCATTTCTTCAAGACCTGTAATCAGACTTCTGCCTCTTCTTTTTTGTTTTGTTTTGAGATGGTCTCACGATGTAGTTCAGGCTGGCCTTGAACTCACTGTATAGCCCAGGCTGGCCTCAAATTTTTGCCTCAGCCTCCCAAGTGCTGGAATTACAGGCAGGTACTACCACACCTGGCTCTTATTTAACTTTGGGAATAGGAACGAACACAGATTCACTTTGGACTCACTTCTGTCCCCCTCCCTCGTGGTGCCCACCAGACGCAGTGCTAGTTACTGAGCCAGAACTCCAGAAGCACGTGTAGATTGAATTGGCTTATTCACTTGGTTTCCTGCTGAGGCACAGTGACTTTTTTGTTTTCAGTCATGACATATGTGTGAATTTCTATCGGCCGTTTCCATCACCTTAAAGAAAAAACACACACACACACAGATGCTAAGAAAGGATTCCAGTATTTCTTAAGGTAGGATTGTTTACCTTATTTATTTATTGCTTAAGTATAAGTATTCTTTATTTTATTGCTATAAGTATTCTTTTCTTGGGCAGACATAATTCAAATTGTAAGGCTACTTCATTTAAGGTAGGACTGTATGCTTCAGTAGAGCTGCTGAAAAACAGTGAAACGTGTTTCTCAAGAGCAGGGATCAAATTCGGACTTTTCAATGGTATCAATCTCTTTGGTCACCAGTTTCTTCATCTCAATAATGGAAATGATCATAGTACAAACCTTTTAAGGTTGTTACAAAGGCAAATGAAATGATATATGCATATATGTTAAGGTCAGTGCCTGGAACGTGATAAGATGCTAACAAATGCCATCTATGACTACACATTAAGTATCTCGAATACAGAAATTTGAAATGCTCTGAAATCAGAAACTTTTTGAACAACTTGTCATGGCTCAAGACAGTTACAAATTTGTGAAAGCTCAAAAAAACTGCCAAAATCTGAAGCACTTCTAGTTTCAATCATTTTGAATGAGAGATACTCCACCTATATAGCTCTAAGTTTTGGTCAAGTCATACACCCATGGAATATAATTAAAGGTAAGTCTGAGAAATTGGAGGGTTTGTATCTCAGGGCAGGAGGCTTCAGAGTGATCATCTCCTTTAATATGGTTGTAATGGTAGACTATGTTTGGCAAAAAGGGTTGGAGGTTAGCTCAGTGGTAGTACTAGATCCTCACCGTCAAGTACGTCTTTGCTTGATGTAATGGTGCAGATAGTCAGGTAGCACATAGCACACAGCAGGCCCCTGATGAATAATATCTACTGGTAACAGTGATTGCAGGTTCCTGGGATGTATTTGCAGACATAGAGAGAGTTTGGCTTACTTTCGTTCCAAGGCTATGTGGGTCTGTGACAATATTACTTTCCGGTTCTCTCAAGATCAATGTTTGGAGAGCATATGAAGTTATTGTCACAATAATGCTGGATGACCCCGAACTCAGTGTGTTGAGACACGTAGCATGTGTTTTCTCTGTGCTGAAGGTCTAAGCTGGGCTTTGGTCCAAGCTGTAGATTGGTTCCAGGTCTGCTTCACATGATTTTCACTCTCTGGATCAGCAGGGCCACCTGGGTCATGTCTTCCTAATAGCAAAGCCACAAAGGTCGTGCTCTAGCATATTTTGAGCTTCTGCTTAAGTCACTTTCACACCCAAAGAACTACAGTCACGTGATCAGGGGGTGTGGCTCTAGGAGGACCACTAGTTCCTGCCTCCCTAGTTCCCCATTCAACTTCCCCATTTGGTCCCTGCACAAGATAGTCTGAAAGGGCTTCCCTTGCCTACGGAGGTTCCACGGTTCCTGGCACCAACATTAAGATTCCAGAAGCACTCCATCGGAGCAGGTGGGCATGCTGCAAATTCCTCTCTGGTCTCCGGGAGCCTTCCCTCTGACAGACAGGAATTTACTCTACGGTAAACCCAGGAGTCCCAATTTAGACAGACACGGTGGATTAGGCAGACAGCATCATTGACCCAGTTCCACTTCGTTAGCCTTTCCAATTAAGGAGGATGCAGCTGAAAGTGAGACCTCACAGATACATAGTCATACCTTGAACCCTCTGGACTGAACGCCTGTAGGGAGAGTCTTACGTTTCCACTGTGCTCAGAGAGAGAAGAACAAAATTCTGTTGGCAAGTGCATCGTAAGTGTTAATGACACGGCCCCTTGTGACTACTTTATCCTCTTCCTGGCTGGTTAATTAAGATGCTAAATAGGTAGCTCTTGTTCTTTTGTCTTCGAGAAGCCTTTTAGTAAACCTTGGACCCCTGACCATGCACCCATAGGGTCTGTGATCTTAGAATACAAAACAAAGAGCTAGTGCTTCACAACGTAAAGGGAACGGGCTTTTGGTTTTGACAATGCAGTTGACAGGTATTTCCAAGGAAAGTCTTTTCCAGTGAAGTTGTTCTCAGGGTTTCAGGAAGGCCTTCTCCTCTCTTTACCATCCCGAGATTCTGAGCAATGAAGCATAAGCCCCAGACAATAGCCAAATGGGCTGTGAAGAACAGCTTAATTAATGTGGGCAGACACCCAACACCCCAGTGCAGCGCTTTGCTAGGAGTTGGCTTGGAGAATTAGGCTAATTTTGAGGCTGAGATGCAACTTCTGATTTTCTAATCAAAATCTAGATGGTGGGATCTGAGTGGACAGACAGATGGACAGACAGACACAGACTGGCAGTGACATGAAGAGCAGAGGTTGTGTGCTCTTGATCACTAAGCATGCACAAGGTCTGACATAATGCCAGCCACAGAGCAGAAGGATGATCTTGCTTCCCAAAGATAAAACTGGACCCTGCCTTTGTGCTTGCTTAACAGGAAACTGAGAAGTACAAGGCTGACTCCTTCTGCACATGAGTGATGAGGGAGCTGGGTAGAGGTCTGTCATGGTTTTGATCCAAAATGTCCTCCAAATCTCATGTGTTCAGAGGTGGAACCTTTGGAAGTTGATGACACCATAATTTGATGGCTTTATTGGGACATGATGGAAACAGAAGAGTTGTAGTGGAAGGGAGTAGACTCTGGAGGCATGACCTTGGGGACTATCTGCTCCCCAGCTCTTCCTCTCTGGGTGTCATACTCCCTCTGCTTCCTGACTACCATGAGGTGAGCAGCCTCCCTTTGCCACACCCTTCTGAAATGATGTGCTGCCTCACCACAGGCTTAAAATAATGGAACCAGCTGACCATGGACTAAAACCTCTGAAACCATGAGCCAGAATAAGGCTTTCCTCCTGTAAGCTGTTTTTCTCAGTTATTTGGTCATAGCAATGAAAAGCTGACCAGCACAAGCATGTCTCAGGAAGGATGGCTAAAAGAGAGAGCAGCCCCCCCACCACCAAAGGGGGCTTCTCACTGATCACAGTTGGCATTTTACCCATGTGAAGGAAGTGGTGAGTGTTTAAAGAGAGAGGCTTGACCTGTTTTCTTCTGACTTCTCCAGGTTCTTTTTGGGCTAATGTGTAATAAGGGGAGAGAGGTGAGGACATTCCCCACAACATTTTCCTGGGTCTGCGGAGTGTTGGATGCCTGGGGAATGTGAAAACGAGTGAGGATTCCTTGGAGCAATACCAGTGTTGGAGTACTAGGGATTGGACTCACAAGTAGAATTGGAGGAAGATTGTTTTCAGCCAGTGTGGGTCCTTGCTTACAAATGAAAATTAAAACTAAAGCACACATGTATAGGAAAAGAAAATCTTTAATTACAAAGTTGGAAGGAAGACAGGAAAAGACTTTAGCTGGAGTAGGTGGAGGAGGTAGAGTCTGACACAGGGGTTCAGACTGGCTCACCCACAAGTGCGAGAGGCCAGCTTTGAAGGAAGGGTCTGTTGGCACGCTGGGGTCCAGGTGATTGTTATCTCAGTCCTGGCTTCATAGCTCTGGAATCCTGGCTGAGGGTTGGTTCCATTCCCAGGAAAGGATTGTCTCAGTTAGTGGTGGTTTCAGTCAGGTGGGGCTCTGCTTTTCCTGGAGTCCAGATGATCACAGGTTTAGGATAATGGCTGGAGACTTCTGCGCATAGTTGAATGTCCCTGTAAACCTTTTATCTGGGTGTCCTCAGTCTTGAAGGTGGATGAGATCACGTCGATCCAGGGCTTATCAACTCTGTCTGGCCAGCTTCTAGAGATGCTCCCTAGATGATCAAATATCCCTATGCAAAGCTGAGAAGGGATTTGTCCTGGGATTTACTGTAACAAAGAATACAAAATGAAGGTCAAACTAATTCTGCTTATAGTTACCCACTGGGCATCTCTAGGCCTGAATGAAGAGACAGATTTTTAGCAAAAATGATTTTCAGCCCCTGACTGTCACAGAAGAAAACACAATTGTGCTTTTAATAAGTAACAGGTAAGGGCCAGGATTCTGCCTGCCCTCATCCCTATGGTGGTCCCTGACCATGTCATGACTGTGTTGAGATGAATTCTTCACCTTAAAAGAAAGGCCAGCACTGACCAGCGTTCAAAATGTGCCTGAAATCACATCTTTTCTGCTCATCAGAATTAGGCATCATGACAATGATGGTGCAGAATGGGGATCAAGAAAGCAAGTGGCAAATCACTACAGCAGGAATTTAGAAACCTTTGGCTTCCTTCTTGTGCATGCTATAGACCAGTGGGTTGGTGCTAATTTACATGGCTCCCATAAAACCTGTGTTGGAAAATCTGTTAGGATAAAGCTGAGCTTCAAAATGGATTTCTACTTCAGAGCCCTAAAATCATGCCCATTCTTTGTAAGCTGCAGCTTACAGTTGTTTGGCTGGAATCTGGTACCCAAGATGGTTAAGTTGGGAGCAGACACAGTGCAAACGAAAATAGCCTTTATGTGTTGGCTTTCCTGTTTTTCTTGGAAACCACTCGCTGAACACCACTACCTCCCAGCCAGTCTCTTCCTCCTTCTGTCCCTACCCTGTCCCTCCTCAGCCCAAAGTGTTCATGCTTAATGACCCGAGACATTACCACCCAGCATTCCCAGTCAATTGGCTTTTGTGTGGAGTGAATGAATAGGATGTTTCTCTGGCCTCCTCTGTCCTGAAAGGATCTTCCAGGGCTCTTTGGAATGTGCTGCTCAAACCAGGAATTAAACCCCTCTTTTTCTCTCTCCTTCTCGTTTCTGCCTTCATTCTTCCCAAGATCAGTCCCAACCTGATGGCCTTGCCCTGAATCGGGCCTTTGTGTTCTTGCAGGTTTCTTTCCAATCTTCTTAAGGACCCAACTTCTTCATACCAAGGATTTGAACACTTCCGGAGACGTATGGGGACAAAGCCTTTTGGTTTTCTTTGCACTTCCTTGTTTTCCGTCCTCGGCTTCCAGGATGCACACACTTGGGCTTCTTTCACCTTCTGGGTGTGGGAAGAAGTGCTGGGGGTGGAGAGGGAGCAGATTGGGCCATGCTGTTCTTGTGCTGAGGTTCTGTAGATTGGGGAGGCAGTTGGGCTGCCTTCCATCCCAGAGTTTGAGCACTGAGAAAATCAAGCTTTGTTCGAGAACGATGCTTATAAGTTAACTTTTCCCCTTGATGCTTATGTGTGTTTTTTCCTTTCTTCCCACAGGATCCACACCCAAGTCCGCTGATCACCTTGGAGACCCAGGTGAGTATTTCCCATTCTCTTTGTCACCTATCTGCACCTTGATGCTCCAGGCCCAGCTCTCCAGGGATTGTTTGTGCATTCTCCGGGCCTCATGGCTCAGAAAGGATGCACAGGCATGGTAAGGCTGTCTCCCTGCCCTATCTGGGTGTGTGGGTACATATGCATGTGTGCACACACTCTGGCTAGTAAGTGCATGTGTGTGTAATAGTATGGGTGTGTATGCACATGTGCATGAATGCATCACCTACCTGGGGCACGAACCATAACCATTTGTTTTAAGTTGCCTTCTTCCCTTGCTCTTGCCTAGCAATCACAAGGAGGTAAATGCAAAGGGAACAATGAGATAAAAGTGAAGGGGAAGAGAGAAGATGTTGCTCTTTCTTGGTTTTGAGCTTGGAGGACTTTACTTGTTGGCAGTGCAGGCAGCAGGACCCAACTGACAGGACAGGAAGTTGGAGCCTTGTGTCTGCTCTCATAGGTAGCGGTGTTTCCATGTGGGGATCATGACCCATGGGCCCAGTGAGGGTGGCCTGGCCCTTATGTCTGCTTTCTGCTCTCCTGGGAGCCAGGACAGTGCAGCAGCTCTCAGCACATGCCCGAGCACCCAGGGAACCCAGGTAGAATTCAGTTCTGTGACCTCCAGGTCTGCAACATCAGTGGGGCCACTTGACCTGCTCTCTTCCCATCAGGAATGCTGCCACAGTGATGGTGCCCCTTCCCCACCAGGCTTTGGGGAGAACCACAGGAAATGATGTCTATAGAAAATAATGTCAATAACATCAGGGGTACACACTAAGTGCTTGTGTTAGTTTTTTTAAACCAGCAGGACTGTTGCCTTTCCTGCTGGATTTGAAGGGGCCATATCTGGGTAGATCATCTCCTTATCTCTGTCTGTGAGTTGATCAGACAGTAAAGAGACAAGAAAGATCGGATGGACTGCCTTCAGCCCCACGGCGAACACTTTCCAAGTGTCAGATGCACTCAAAGCTATTTGAGCATTTCAAGGCTGAATAACAGCTCCTCAGAGATTTCTGGAGCATGCTGGCGGAGACCACCTGCCTCCCTCTCCCTTCACCCTCCTCCTGCAGTCCTTGTCTGTCCCTGGCATCTCTGCTTGGGTCTTCCCAAGGGGAAAGAGGGGAGGAACAAACCCAACCTGCTTCACAGTGATCAGAATATCAGGACGGCCGGGAGCTGTGGGGACAGCCTGCCCTCTTGTTCCCCAGCATACAGGTAGATCTCTCAGCCCAGGGATCACCAGGCTCAGGTCTGGCCTGGCAGGCAGAGGATGTAACCGTGGAGGAAGGAGGATCCAGTCTCCTCTGCCTGCCAGGCCGTCCGTCCTCTGGTCTGGTTTTTCCCATTCTCCCATTATTCACACACCCCTCTGCCATTGCTTCAACATGTCAATTTCATCTGCTTTTTATGTTACCTAAAAACAAAGTTTTCCCTAACTGAACTAACTTTACTTTAAGGACTAGACTATCCTAAGCTAATGGCTCTCAGCTAGGGGTGATTTTGAGCCCCGGAGGATATTTGGGTTGTCTTGCCTGGTTGTAGGGAGGACGGTTTATTTCTAGAGACCAGGGTTGCTGCTCAGTATCTCAAAAGTATAGAGCAACCCTCCACAGGAAGGAATTATCCACCCGAGATGCCATGGTGTCCAAGTGGAAAAGCACCATCTCAAGCAGTAATATCTGTGACTCATGGGTTTGAAGTGCTAGTTACATTTGGGGAGGGGCAGAGCATTAAAATAAATATTAAACTAAAAATGTTCCTCTGAGTGCCATCTCAAGCCATCTAAATGTACCCCCAGAGGTTTGTGTGCTGCACTTTGGAAAACCTTTGCCTCCAGACCCTGCCCTGTCTTACCCAAAGGATCACGAGAGAACTTTCAGAGCGCGCTTGTAAATGGTGGGTCTTCACATCTTGATCAGCCCTTCCCCGGAAGACTAATTAGGCTCAGGAAAACCCAGAGGCAAACAGTCTGTGTCTAGAACTCTGGGAACCGAGTCTTGTCCTCGGGACAGAACAGCTGCCCCCAGGTTGGCTCTGTCCCTGACCTTCCCATATCCTTCACTCTGGACAGACCCTGCCAGCCCTTCCAAGCCACCATGGGAAAGAGCAGTCACATGCCCATGGCTTTGGCCACATGTTATAAGGGTAACAGCTTGCCCTGCACAATGACTGCTCCTAAAGCTCTATCTGTTGGCCCATGGGACTTCACCCGCCATCCGCAGCCAGTGGTGGCATGAGACACACTTTCTCCACCCTTGGCATGCCTTTGAGGAAATGATTCAATTTGTCTCCAAACAACAATCCCTTGGTCTCATCTGGCTCCTGGTCTTTGGGGAGCTGTGGGATATTGTTGTCTTTCCCTGATTCTGATTTCCCATGCTAAACAGATGCTGGATCCCAACCAAAGTGCAAATGTTCTTTGTGTGGCTGCTAGGAAAAGCCTGTGGCCAGAGCTGACTTCGGGCTGGCCCTCAGCTTACAGTGGGGTGAGCAGTAGGATCCTGTTCAGCTGCCTGTAGGCAGGCCAAACAAGAGGGGCACGGAAAGGTCTTCTGGCAGAAAGTCGTGTCCCAAATGTTACCCACATGCCGTGAGTGAGGCAGCAGATATGACCTAGCTTGGAAGAAGCCATGCTGCACAGTTGACATGACATCTGAGCTCTGAGCAGGGCTCCCACTTCCTCCCCTTGCCTGATGTGTCCTGGGGCTTGCAGGTGGCCTTGCCTGCTGGGTGTTCTAGCATCATACATAAGCTTATGCGGCCCGGCCTTCATGGGACCCTGGGCACCAGCACCCACTCTTTCATGCACCCACTCGCCCTAGCATTAACTACACCGTTCCTCACCCACTGCCTGGTTAATTTATCTTTGTGCAGCTGTTGTTAGTTGGAGGAGATGGATTGGCTGCTGCCGAGGACTCCCCTAATGCTCTCTGCCATTAGCACAGTGGAGCTTTGCATCTGTTGGTATCTGTAGGACTCTCTCTGCTTAATGGCCAGATTCATAGAATGAGGAAGCAGAGCAAGGTTTAAATCTCTGGTGTCAGCTTTCCCCGCAGCAGGCTGCCCCTGGGGATGTACCAAGGAAGCCCCGACTCACAGTGGTGAGTCTTCTTTGGTCCAGAGGTTGGTTACCCAGGAACCAGGTGACCTACAAATGAAAGAAAAAGAAAAAAAAGCCTCAAAGTTTGCAAGGAGTTGGAATTTACGTGGTGTTTTCATTATCCTCACCCTCACTACCATTCCTCACTTACCACGACTTGGCTTTTCCCATTGAATTCTCAGGTGCCCCAATTACATCGCTGCTCTTTCCATTCTCAGTTTCCTGATGAGGAACCTAAGGATCAGAGAGGTTGAGTAAGTTTGCCCACAGCAACACGGGAGGCACATAGCACTGACAGGTGTAAAATGTGGGGTCATAGGACATCAAATCTCTCTTCATGACCTCTCTCTTATTTTGCCAGAAAATAAAATTGCCTTGACTTGCAGAAAAATTTGTTAATGCTCAGTGAGGCAACCCAAGGCCCATAGATAAACAAACAGAGAGACAGCATGCTCTGCAGAAGTAGCCAAACATATACTTAGTTATGCAGTGGGAGGTGGGTGATGGGCAGATGGATGGATGGATGGATAGACAGACAGACAGGCAGGCAGGCAAAATACTTTGCACAGGTTGCTGCAAGGCTTGTGGATAAGACGGCTTAGGCAGTAGACTCACTAGAACATTTATTTTAGGCCAACAAAAGATGAAAACATCTCTGTGCACATCAACAGTGTTTTGATGAATTTGAATGCTCCTTTGATTTTCTTTCTCATTGATCCTCCAGAAGGCTTATCATTTCTGAATCCATGCCACTTGGCATGGCCTGTTGTCATTTAATTTTAGCTCCTCTGCCACGCCCCTACCCGACAGCTTCTCTGTCAATTAGTTAATGGTTTCTGCTCATACACGAAGAGACCTGGGGAGTTGTAATAAAGGAGCTCTTTTGTAGAGTAAAGATTTGTCAATCTGGGTATTTGTGAAGTGAGCCTCTCTTGGAAGGGAATAGACTTAATTTACATTGAGATCTCTCTCAGGACCTGAAGATTAAGGGCATCGGGAGGCAAGTTGACTCTCACTTTTCAAAACTAACAGGTGCTTGAATTTCTTTGATCAACTAGCTGGGGGGATAGGAGGGGGAGTAAAATTCACATTACTTAAAGATGTTGCCGGGGCCATGAGGATTGTCAGCAAAGCAGATGTAGAAAATAAGCAGTGACTATGAAAAACAAGTAATGTTTTAAAAAGTGCATGTATACAAATCCACTTATTGATTTGCTTATTCAATAGACAGCTATTGGGCAGCTGTCTGTTGTAGGCAGGGACCAGGCATGGGAGTGCTGCATGCTAAGGGTACAGCAGTGCACAAGACAGGAAGGGTCCTGCTGATGAAGCCTCCCTTCCTGTTGGAGGAGTCAGATGGGAAACATGCAAATGAATGTGTCCCTAATTTCAGGCAGCAAAAAGTGAATGAAAAGAAGACAGGCAGGTCTGTGAGAGTGGGAAGGGTAGAAGAGATTCATTCAGCAAAGTGTCTCTCAGGAGCAGAGATCTGGCCTCCAAAGGGGAGATTCAAACTGCCAGTTTATACCCGAAGGAGTTAACCCTGCGAAGACATGGCAAGAGTAGTGTTTTGAAATTTTTGCCTATTATGTCTGTGTTGCTATAAAAATAATGCCAGTTTTCCTTAGAATCAATTAAAGTGTCAGCTCCTTCAAGCTTCTTTGAAGTCCTTACATCGTTATTATGCCAAGATGAATGAGTTACCTTATCAGGCAAGGGTGAAGGAAGAGGGATTTCCGGCCCTTAAATTCAGGGCCATCCAGTCACACTGCTGTCCACTGGAAACGTTTTGACAGGGTCAAAGGACTTCCGGGTCTTAGCACTGTCATGCTCCTACGAGAGCTGATGTCAGAAATCCAGCTAATGGCTGTCATTAGCTAATTAATGGACTGGTACTCAGCTAAACTTAAATTTCAGTGTCAACCAATGGTTCTCAACCAGGGTGACACTGCCTGCTAAGGGGGATTTGGCTATGACCAGAGATGTTTCTGATTGTTGCAACCTGTGGGCAGAAGGTGCTACTGGCATCCGTGGGTGGAGATCAGGGGTGCTACACAGGAGAATTAGGAAAGAATTATCAAGCCTCAAATATCAGTAGTTTCAAGGTTGAGACACTCGAGTATAAACTCCTTTGCTCTACAGTAGCTTATGTTACCAAGATACTTCTAGCCATGTCGTGGTGACTTCCCTGGTATTTTCTTTTTTATGTTCCAAGGTCACCTTCCCTGGCTAAGGTCAGACTTTATCCAGACTCCAGGCTCTGGCCATGACACATGCATTCCCAGCATGTCTGTCTGCATTGACAATGACCTTCTGCACCAGGGTCCGTCATACTCATAGGCACGTTCTTGGCATCCTTAAATGGTGGGTCTTAAATGGCTGGATAATTCTGGGGAGAAAGTTTCAGCAGAAGAGATGATTTCCTGAGAGATTTGGGGCTTGGTAATTCCTAGAACCTACAGAGTTTAAGAAAAAACCTAAATTAGGCCTGGGGTGTAGCTCAATCGAGCTTTACCTGGCACTTGTGAGGCCCTGGGTCCCATCCTCAGCACTGCAAAATAAACAAATATAAAACTTCAGCTGCTTGGCTGGGGTCCTGAGGGGCTTGGCCATTGCTCCTGCACTGCAGGTACAGTTCTTTCGAGTGCCTTGTGTTTAGGCCCTTCCTCTTTCCAACCCGGGCCTTATCCTCCTTTGTGTGAACTCTCTCTGGAAGCTCTTTCCCCACTCGCAGGATTAAATGAAGTGATTGCTGCCTCCTTGCCTCTCTTCTGGTGCTGAGCTTCAATTAACCTTTTTCTCTACAGAAAGCAGTTTTTGGAGTAATCAGGGAGCTTCTGAATAGCTCCTACCTGAGTCTCCAGCCCATTAATTCTTATGGTGCCCAGCATCTGTTGAGAGGAGGCGAGACCAAATTGCTGCTCGGCCCGGCAGCTTGCTTGGGGCAGCTGCTCCTCTCTGGGGCACATGAGGCTGGTTTGTGGACAGGCCAGGTCACTTGGCCATGATTTTTTTCCACTGGCTCTGATTTTCTAGGTCTTTAATTAGCCCTGGTGGAGCCAGGGAGGTGGCCGGCTGGACCATTGCCTGGGCAGGGATTGGCTTGCTCAACAAGGAGGCTGCACTTGGACCACAGCACCGTTCTGGGGAGGATTTGCGGTCTCAGGGCCACAGACTCCTTTCTAGTCTGCATGACTCAGGGCGAGGGATATGAGGCAGCATTCCACAAATAGCCAGCAAGTTCCCCAAAGCGCAGCCAGCCACAGGCATTGTGTCGAAAAATAGATCGCGTGGAGCTCACCATCCCTCTGTTCTTGGTGGGAGCAGACTTGGCCTGAGACTCTGGATGTCCAAGTTTAGCCCTTAACTCAGAACACTTGCAGCTATTGTTTGTGTTGACAGTGACCCCGTTCTTTGGCTATACTGTATGTTTATTTTGAGAGAAGAACTGGACATTATATGTGCCCTGTAAGTCTGGTACTTTTAACTAGCATTCACTCAGCCATAGGATACATGTCAGATACTCTGCGAAGAAAGTTTTTCACATGGGTCCTCTCATTCATAATCTTACTGCTGTCCCATATGGAATGTGTCATTGCCGTCCTCATTTGACAGGTGGGAACCCAAGGCATGACGAGTATCAGTTACGTGTACAACAGGTGGCAAATGGAGCAGGATTTGAACCTGGCAGTTTAGATTTCATTTGTCAGGAAACATAACTCCATGAAACAGGTACTAATCCCAGCCCCATTTTACAGATGGGTCAACTAAAGCCCAGAGCAACCAAATTTCCCTTTAATATAGTCATTGGTACAGCCTGGCCCCTAGCCAGGTTACAGATGAAACCAGTCTTCCTCAGCACCGTGTTGCTAAGTTACTGATAACAAAAAGATATAAACATAGACTTGATGCAGATATTGATCCAGCGTGGGTGGGTGTGGATTCCTTATAGATTAGATGTAGAGATAAATCCAATACAGATATTTGTACAGATGTAAATTAGACTAGACATAGGAACAGATACCTGCAATTAAATGTAGAGGTAGATAAAAATTAGATATGTTTATAGATGTGGAATAGATTAGATATAGATACAGATATAGGCATAGGCTATATATCGATTAGATACGGATACAGGTATAATAGTTTACGTAAAAAAAAATATTCCCCTAAAGACCCATAGGTTCGGAGGCGGGACTTTGGGGAGGTGATTGGGTTAAGTGGATACTGTACACATCTAAGTCTGATCCATTGATGAGTTTACAGCTGAATAAGCTGGAGCTGGTTGGAGGGGTGGGTCGGGGTGTGCTGTTGAAGCCTATACCATGGTGACCCAGCTCTTCCCTCTCTGGCCTTCTCTCTCTCTGCTTTTTGGCTGCCCCGAGGTGAGCAGCTTTCCTCTGCCTTGCCTGTCACGTTGATGTTTCTGCCTTGATGCAGGCCAAAACCAATGGAGCTGGCTGACCATGGCCTGAAACTTCTGACATCATAACCCAAAAATAAACCTTTCCCCCTCCAACTTGTTTATCTTGGGTATTTTGCCACCGTGACGGAGAGGTGACTAACACAGAGCAGATTAGGTGTAGAAATGGATCACTCACATGGCCACCGCCAACAGAGGGGTTCGGACGCACCTGTCCCTCCATGGGACTCCAGCTGAGGCTCCAGGCTGTGCCAGGGTCTGCCCTGCACACAGTCTGAAGAGCAGTGGCACCCTGGGGTGTTCCTCTAGCACAAGGTGTCACCCCTTTCACAGCAGACACTGAGGCAGAAGCCCAGGGAGTTGGCAGCGGAGTGACAAGGCCCTGTGGCTGGACTTGCATGGATCTGCGAGTATCAGGCGGCACCACTGACATTTGGCATCAGGATCTTTGAGGCCTAGACTCCCTTCTCCATGGGGTTTTCAAGGCAGGGCTGTGCACACTAGAGAGCTTAAAAGAGATGTTCTGGTGCTAGAAGCTGCGGGCTGCCTTTGCAGGTTCTGTTCCCAGGCTAATTCAGTCAAGTAAATCCCTTTCACACCAAACAGCAGCATGACGAAAGTCTAGGAGAAGGAAGGACATAAAGACCCATAGGTGGAGTCCAGACTTGTGCCACTGGAGAGCCGCAGAGGTCCTTGGGCGTGACTTGCTGTTGTGTTTATTGCCTGTCTTCTGTGTGCCTAGAGCTGTCCTAAGTGCTTTGCACATGTGACCCCCTCTGATCATAGCACCCCTTGGGGGAGGAGCTCTGTCCTCTCCTTTGAAGGTGACGACACTGTGACATCACAAGGCTGAGGACTTTGTCCACAGCCTTCAAGCTCCTGCGTGTCAGAGGGTTCCGCCCTCGTGTGCATCGTGCATCCTTGCAGTGATTCAGCCCTTGTGTGAGAAAACCAGGCGCAGGCGCAGATGGCTGACCCATGCAGTCCTGCTGAGTCCTGACTCACTGTGCTGCCCGAAGGCCTTCCTCTGGGTGGCTCCTCTACAGTGACTGTCACCTTAGAAATGCATGGGTCCTGGTGACCGGAGGGTGACACTCGGGTGGAAGATCGACAGTCTTACCTGGCTTCTTTGTACGTCTGTCACCGGCTGGCTCCTATTGGAGTCCCTGGCCTGTCAGGCCACTCTCTGCCCTCCCCTCCCTTCCCCATCCCCAGCTGGACCTCTTCGTCATCATGGACTTGCACTGTCTGGGCCACTGGAGGCACTGGCCGGGTGTGGGAGGGGATGGGACTGGGTAGTTTTCCACGGCTGGCTTTGTCCCTCTAGAGGACCACAGCCCCTGCCCCTCTCGTGTCCCCAGCAACTCTTTCCTCCTCTCCAGGCCAGTGGTGGTGACAGCTCCTGCCATGGCTGGCCTCAGGCACAACACACCCTTGTTGGTTTCCCTGGTGACGTTTCTTTGTGGCATCTCTTCTAGCAGGACAGTAGCATCTCTGTCTCTGTCTCTCTGCCTAACTCTGTCTCTCCCTCTCTCTGTCTCTGTCTGTCTGTCTCTCTCTCTCTCCCCTCCTTTTGATGGTGTAGCCCTGCCAGTGGGACTTTTCAGGCTGAGTCATTGCCATCCCTGCCATGTTTCTATAAACCAGCAGGTCCCCCCTGAGGGCAAGTCCCAGATGGCGCCCAGGGGAGTATGAAGCTCCTTGGAGGGAACCTGCAAAATTTTCTGGAAGGCGGATCTTGGCTGTTGTTCTATTTATGACAACTTCCTCCCCAAAACAGAGCCAAGAAACAAGCATGCTGAATTGTCCTGAGCAACGAAAGGGTCTGAAGACCACGGATATGCAGAGAGGTGCTCCAGGCAGGAGACAGCTGCTCTGAGTCTTGTCACTCACTCACACCCCTCTGTCTGTCACAGCCATGAGGCCGTGAAGGGCTTCTTCATCCGGGCAGGGATGGAGGCTGTGGGGGAGGAGGGAAACAGGTCTTCAGCGTCTTCCTGTGGACCTGGCTCAGACAGACAGACAGACAGACAGACAGGGAGGGAGGGAGGTCATTGCTGCCAGCAAGCAAGTCCTTCATGGACTCTCCTTTTCCTGTCCCCTGACACACTCTAGGAAATGGTAACTGCCCTAGCATTTGAATCTGATTTCTCAGAAGTGCCACCGCCTCTCTTTGTGGCTTTGAGAGCCAATAGGGAGGGTCAGTGTCACTGCTCCTCCAGCCCAGCACGCCCCTCCTGGCAGGGTTTGGTTGCCCTCCTGAAAAGGAACATCTCACGGGTAATGACGCCCTTCTGGTCTTCTTCTGAGAACTGTAGCTCCTGCCTGTCCCCTGGAAGAGGGCATCTAGGGGAAGAAGAGACCAGGTGGGTGGGGCCGAGGACAGAAATGCAGAGTCGCTGTCCTGCTAAGGAGAAACCCAGCTGCTCTGTGCCAGGAGGAAGAGCCCCCACCTCTGAAAGGGGCTGAAGATGTCTTGACTGGGTGACCAGGGTCCGTGTGCACTGTGCTAATTATAATCAGGCCCCAGTGACAGGGCAGGCAGTGATGTCCCCATCACATGGCACTAGACCCAGAGGGTTGCCCAGGAGTCCACCTGGCCACCTCTGGCCTGCACATGGACTCCCCGTGGCCCGAGAACATGTTTCTGTAATGGTTCTTTGCGGGTAGTGGGGTTGGAGGAGTTTTGAACACCTGGAGTGTAAAGCCACACTGACTCTCCTGATGCCAGGAGTGCTGTGGTGCCTCCCAGCTGGCCCCTCGGGGTGGGGTCTTTGGGGGTGTCACCTGCTCGCCACAGCCCCACCAGGCATGCTGCTCCCTTCCCTCACTAGACGGGAATCTAGCATCTCAGGACAGATGGGGTCTGAAGTCCCCTGGGTCTCACGTGCACAGTGGACAAGGGCCCCAGGCTGCTCCTGGGCGCTGCTGGCTCACTTTCCAGGGCTGTAGCCTGCTGAGGGCTCTCCTGTGGCCCGCAGGGTGGCCCGCACGGTGGCCCGCAGTGCCCCCAGCCCCTGCCCGATGGATGCCAGTGGTTCTTCTTGCTTCCCACAGATGTCTCCGGACGGCCAGACGGCCCCTGGGGAGCAATCCCTGCCTGGGCCCCAGAACCTCTGGTCTAAGCGAACATGGCACGCAGCACCTGCAAGAGCAGGGACTGCTGACTTTAGTAACGGCATGGTGTTGGTGGCATCCGGTTTTAGACTGTCGCCTGGAGATGTCACTGGGTTTTGGGTTTTTAGTCCCAAGTGACCTCGTATGGGCTGAGGTTCTGCACACAGCAGCATACATGTGTCAAGGGTTTCAGTGGGATGTGTAATAAAGACACAGAGGAAATTCTCATGTTACATTCATTTATTTATTTAGCAGTGCTGGAGATTGAACCCAGGGCCTCACTGAGCTACATCTGTAGCCCCCATTTTTATTTATTTATCTTATTGTTTATTTATGTATCAGAGGGTCTCACTAAGTCACTAAGTTGCCTAGGCCGGGCTGGAACTTGTGTTGCTCCTGCCTCAGCCTCTTAAGAGTGCTAGGATTCCAGGCATGCTTGGCTCCTAATGTTGCCTTTCTCATCGACAAAGACCTGAGGCACAAAGGATGAAGACTCTGCCGGCCATACACCCAGGCTCCTGAGGCACCCAGACCCTCAGCCCACCCGAGTCACTTTTCCACAGCAGGCACTGGTTCGAGTTCTCAGCCTCGTCTGGTGCCCTGGCACCTCGTGGGCAGCAGGCTGGGGTTTGGCAGGGTGTCAGACCTGCATGGTGGCTCTGTCCCAGGAGGGTGTGGGCCCTTAGACACCCGGAAGTCGTTTGTGGCTTTGGGGGCTGACACTGTAATGAGTTCGAACCCGGCTGGCGCTTATTCCCCGGACTCCATCAAAGAGTCCTATGTAAGAGCAGCTGCTCCAGACAAAGGCCACTGTGTGCTGCACTGGCCGTGAGCTGTTTACGTGCTCTGCCGTTGCTGGTTCCTCCCAGCCTGCTCTCTGTGGGCGGCCTGAAAACAGAGTTTGTTTTTAAAAAATATTTTTGTAGGGGACTCAAGGCCCTCTTCTGTATGTTTTTCATAGTTGCTATCATCATATTGTTGATCACTTTGTTCAGTACGTATTTATTGAGTGACTACTGTGAGCCAGATACTATTTTAGGGGCTGGAGATCTATCTACCCGAGAACACTGTGCTGGTCTCCATGCTCATGAGCTCACCTTGTGAATGGATGGCACACGAGGAAAGTGTGTTTCAGATGGTGACAAGAGCTAATGAAAGGGAGGAAGAGGAGGGGTGGGTCAGGCAGGTGAGTCAGGGAGGGTTGCACTCTACTGGGGGACATTTCCAGCAGCAGTGTTTGAGCAGAGACCCAGCAAGTGTGAGTGGATGAGGCTGATTAATACATGGCTAAACAGGGAGCAGCCAGTGCAAAGGCCCTGAGGTGGGATGAACTTGTTTGTTGTACAGCACAGTGAGTAAGGGAGAGAGAGAGAGATGCATGGAGGTGAGTCTGCATCATTAGGACCTTGTCAGACTTAGAAAGAACTTGGCTTTCACTCCACATGGGGAAGTCTGTAGAGGATTTTGAGCAGAGGAAGGACATGGCCACCTTTGCAAATGGGATGAGTGGCCGTCCTACTGTGGTCAAGGGTGGATCTGCTGCCATAGACACAGGGCTGCAGGGCTACTTGGGACCAGGTGCCAGCGGTGGAAGCCCAGAGAGGTGGTTCCACTCTGGAGACCTTCTGAGAGCACAGCCTGCTGCACTTACTGTCGACCCAGGTGACACAAACACCCGGCGAAGCAAATCGAAGCACAAAAGCCTTCAAGACAAGTCACTCCCTGTGCCCCTTACTTTGTTCTTTAGAGGTAACTGCTGCTGGTGGGATTTCATTTCTCCTTCCAGATTTTCCCCTTGCATATTAACCTGTGTATTTGTACATTGACAGGGATTTCTTGTTTCCTTGAAAAGAAATCTAATATATGACATTTTATAATAATTTGGTTTTTTTCTCTCTCTCTATATGTTAGTTCTCATTTCACATCAGTACTTATCATTCTTCCTGTTAGTTTTTTGTGTTTTCCAAGTCTATTGCCAGTCATAACTTTTCAGAAAATGCAAATTGAATGAATTAAATATCTCATCATCCAGTTAATTGATTTCCTGTTGGTAGACATTTAGATTCTTCCTTTTTGTTTTCTTACTGTGAGCTGTGCTGCTGCGCATGGTTCTTGTTCAGATAACTTTTCATATTTGAGTGTGTATCTCTGTAGGATAAGTGAATGGATTTGAGATTCTGGTTCGAAGGGTGTATGCATATTAAATGCTGATGGGCATGGCTGAATTGTCCTGTAAAACGATCCCATCGGCATCTGTCAGAGTGTATGCGATTTCCTGTTTCCCCTCTCCAAAGCACAGTGATTATCAGCCTTTATAATCTTTGACAAGCAGATGGGTAAAACAGTATCTTTCTGTTTTGATTTGCATTGTAGATATGAAAGGTTTGAACATTTTGGAAAAGTGATATTTGTTGATTCATTCCTCAGTTCCCTTTTCCAGGGTTTCTGATGCCAGTGTTTGAATCCTCTGCCTCCTTTGGGGAACTGACTGCATAACAATTTCTGAGACTGGCTGAGTACTTACCATAGGCCAGCTACCGTGCTAGTACCTTCCACTGATTAACCCACTGGACCTTCCTGTGAAGAAGATTCTCTTCAACCTTCCCAGAAAGGAGGAAGGTTAAGTCAGTTGCCGAAGGTCATGCAGAGTAAGTGGAGGAGTCAGCATTCAGACCTATGCCAGTCTCCTGGCCACTGTGCCGAACAGCAGGTGGACTTGGCAGTAACTGGGACTCTCTTTTGAGGCTTGGCCACTCTATATGGTCATTGGGAAGTGACAAGCATTCCTAGGTCCGGTAAGCCAGGGGTATCGCACAGGCATAGGCCCTGCCTGGGCTTCTGGCCTCTGAAAGCTGGAGCTGGAGCTCTGTACTAGGCCTCCAAAAGACAGCCAGGCCATAGGCATGTTCTGTGACAGGCATGAAGCCAGACGACAGAGCAGGTCCCCACTTTTCCTACTGCCCACATCCCTATCTGAGCTGCAGAACTGAATCTGGAGACTGAGTACAGAGACAGTGATTTTTAGATCCATAGAGTGGCTCAGAGGGAGAGTGGGTGGATGGATGGATGGATGGACGGTGGAGGGTGTATGGAGGTGGATGGGTGAAAGGGTGGATGATGACTCATGGGTGGGTGATGGATGGGTGGATGATGGAGATATGGAAAGAAGGAACGAAATAATGAAGGAAAAAAGTAATAATGGAAAGATTAGCTATGAAATAGGTAGATATATAGATAGGGAATCTCAGTCCATTTCTGCAAATCCCATCATGTCCTAGCCGCTGCTTTAGGTTCCAGCTTGAAAGATGAGGGACCCAGAGCCTTGCCACAAGTTAGGTCACAGTCTTGAGAGGGTCATTGTCCTGGAACCTTTTGGCTTCTGGGTAAACCTGTGCCTCCTGTCTCTGAATAATATCTTGAAATGCAGAAAAGCAGAAACAAAAAACATGGCTGACAAAGGCCAGCAATTATATCAAAGTGCAACTACCAAAATATACATAGATAGATAACAAATTTATAGAATAATAATGTATTTGCATTTTTTATTAATGCATTAATTAGTTTGATTTGGCAGCAGGTCCAACAGCTACTATAATTTTAAAATAGTGACAAACACAAATAATATTTTGAGTTATCTGTTGCCAAAGCAATGTGACAGGATGTCTGCTGCTTCTCTCCAATATCTCAGGCGTGGCTGATACCACTTTGATCTGTCAGCCACATCCATGCTGAATTTCAGTGAGAATTAGTGAAAATAATTATGAGAGTAAATATGCATAAGTCCAGAGACCCCCAGACTTCTCTGTCAGGACACTGAAGTCCAGGGATTCAAGGACGCTGATCCCTGAGCTGGATGGAGATGTGAATTAACCCCAGGTGTTTGTGCCTGGGCTGACCTCCCGGAGTGAGTGGGTGATAGGGTCTCCACACTCAGGGGTTGGTCTCACTGTCTCTCTCTGTCCTTTTTTTAAATGACTGTGTATAGTTGGATTTCTGTGTGATCTATGGACCTGCGGTTCTCTCCCACGGAGTGTCAGTTCTGTGATACTAGAGAAGCACCTGGTACAACCCCCCTCTCTCAGAAGAGTATTATCTAAGGCGTGCCCTAAAGGGTGGGTATGAGCTAGGACAGGCTCAGCCAGGATAGGGGCCATCATCCACAGACAGAGATGGAAACGTGAGTCCCATAAGGAAATTGCGAGAAATACAGTATTAATGGAATGCAGCACAGGGAGCATGGATTGGCAGGTGATGGGGAAGATGGAGTAGGGACCAGCTCAGATACTGAAGAGGACATCTGGGAGCTTGAGATTTATCCTTGGGGCAATAGGGAGCCACAGATGATGTTTGAGCAGGAGAGTTTCTTGGTCTGAGATCAGAGCGAGAAGATCACTCTGACTGCTGCATGGGGAATGGATCGGAGAACCTGGAGTCCAGAAGAGCTATGATGGGGGCCTGAATTAGATTGAGGACATTGAGAAAGGAGAGGAGGGGATATATATTGGAGAGCCATTAAGATGTAGATTAGATAGGCAGGACTTCGGCAGGCGGGGTGTGGACACAAGAAAAAAATGAGATTGGAAATGCGTAAATAAAGGACGAGTTTGGAAGGGAGAAGAAGAAATCAACCTTGGAGATAGGAGTTTGTGTGCTTCGTTGTGGGGTTGTCAAGTAGTAGGCGGGTGGGAAGGAAGGGCCGTGGGTTTGCCGTTTTGTTGTTGCTTCGGTGCTGAGGATGAAGCCCAGGCCTCACATGTGCTAGGAGGGATCTTAAGCAGCCTCTCACCCAGCTTCCCCAGAAGACCAAGCCTCAGGGGGCTTGGAGATACGGAAATCCTGTACATGGGAGCTCAGCCACAGTCAGGTTTAGTTCCATTTTCTCAGGAAGTCGGTGTTGGTACCACCTCTGCCGGCCACTGCCTCCCAGCCGGGAACATAGGCAAAAGGTACAAAGAACAAAACCACTTTTTACAAAGGAAAACCCGCATTTTGTAGGGATTTATATCTCTTTCTGGGCTGGATATTATTTTTCCTAGCTCCAGTTGTCATTATATATGACCTTATAAAATGCCATGATAGCACCTAACGGATATCACATTGCAGAATATATGCCTTTCCTTGGCAAGGGCTTTTTAAAAACTCGTCCCTGGCTTGTGTGGGGGTGGAAAAGTGCACAGCGCTCCACCTGACAAAGCAGAGAGCATTTTTCCAGG